CATCTCCATCCTTCTAGTTGCTCAGGTCAAAATCCTTGGAATCGCCTATCACTTTTTTTTCCTCACAGCTTGCATTCAATCCATTAGGAAATCCTGTTGGCTCTTTTTTCAAATACATCCAGAATCTAGCTACCATCATTGCTCACCTAGATTACCACAATAGCTTTTGAATGGAGGTCCCCATTTCCCTTGTCTCCCCACAGTCCATTCTCTACACAGCAGACAGAAAATTGCTTTTAAAATTGAAGTCAGATTAATACCATGCCTCTGCTCAGAATCCTTCAATGGCCTCCGGTCTTACCCAGAGTAAAAACTAATGGATGCCCAATAAAGTTTTATATAATCTGACCCTCCACACTTCCTTTTTTTTTTTTTAAATTGTACTTTAGATGACGGTTTACAGAACAAACTAGCTTCTCATTAAACAATTAGTATACATATTGTTTTGTGACATTGGTCCACCATACTTCTTTGACCTCATATCCTGCAACTCTCTTCCATTCTTACTCCACTCTGGCCATACTTGGTCTCCATGCTTTTCCTCAAGTATGCCAGGCATATTTCTACCTTATAGCTTTGACCTTTGGTTTCCTGTGCCTGGAAAGCTCTTTCAGGTATGCACATGAGTAACACCCTCGCCTCTTAGAAGTATTTTTTCAAAGATCACATTTTCAATGAAGCCTATCCTGACCACACTCTTTGGAAGTTATAATCTGTCCCCCTCCAGCAACCATAATTCCTCTTACCCCATGAATCATTCCATAGCAATATTATCTTCTAAAATAATAAAGTAATAAAAATCTACTCATTTATTATGCATATTGTTAATCGTCCGTCTCCTGTCAGCAGAATGTAAACACTATAAGAGTGAGATTTTTGGCTGTTTTTTTCAGTGTATCCCAAGCATTTATAATAGCGACTGGTATGTAACATGTAGTTAGTATTTGTCAAATGGGCTGAATTGGTCAGTTATTCCATTAAATAAAGGTGGATTAAAGGCGCCAATTAAAAGGCAAAAATGTCAGGCTAGATAAAAAAGAAAATCCAACTATATATTGCTTAAAAGATTATACACACATGTGATGTAAAAAAATAATGCAAAAATGTTGGAAAATGGATATCATATGAAAATAATAACAAAAAGAAAGCTGGTCATGTTATGAAGACAAAGTAGACTTTATGGCAAAATCATTACTAGAGATAATACAGGTCACTCCAAAAGTTCTATACGCCAAGAAGATAATAATTTTGTATTTATTTGCACATTACAACATAGCCTAATAATATATAAAGCAAAAACTAACAGAATTTAAAAGAGAAATAGATAAACTACGATCCTAGTGGCTGATTTCAACAAATCTGTCTCTGAGATGAATAGAAAAAGCAACAGGAAAAAAACCAGTAAAGATATACAAGACTTAAATAATACAATTAACAAATAAAACATAATAGACACATAAAACTATTGCACCCAAAAGAGAAAAATGAACATTATTTTTAAGTTCATTTGGACAATTCACAAATATTGACCATATATTTGGCCATTATATATAAGTCTCAACAAATTTGAAAGCACTAAAGTCATACAGAGCATGTTCACTGACCACAATGCAATTAAACTAAAAATCAATAAAAAAAGGTTAATCAGATGCAGTGCGACAGATTGCTTTTGTGTGGCCTTTCTCACCATGGTCTTGTAACACCCACCCAAGTGACTGGGTACCCCAACCCATTGCCGTCAAGCCAATTCTGACTCATAGCGACCCTATAGGACAGAGTATAACTGCCCCATAGTTTCCAAGGAGCACCTGGTGGATTCGAACTGCCGACTCTTTGGTTAGCAGACGTAGCTCTTAACCACTAAGCCACCAGCGTTTCCCAGTGATTGGGTGGGACTGAGCAAATAGGGTAATGTGGCCCACTAAGGGGATTGGTCAGTTTTGTCATCCTGCTGGGCTTGAAATGAGCCACCTCAGAGGCAGGAAAGAGAAGATCTCACCACCACCAAGGAAGAACAGCCAGGAGCCAGCACGTCCTTTAGGCCCAGGATCCCTGCGCTGAGAAGCTCCTGGAACCAGGAGACAGAGAGAGCTGTAACACTGAAGGCAGCGAGAAGAGGCAGCAGAGACCCAGTAGGAGAGACTGGGAGGAGGAGACACCGTGGTGGGCTTCTGGGCCCACAGAGAGAGAAAGCTGAGTGCCTTCGGGCAGAGGCCGAGGGCCAGGAAGAGGTGTGCCTGCAAGCATGGTTGGGAAGAGGATGTCTTGATGGAAGAATTGTATCCTGAGCATTTCTGAGCCTGAATTGTAACTGTTACTTCCCTAATAAACCCCATAATCATGACTATTGTACATTAGTTCTGTGCGACCATTGCAATGAATTATCGAGCCCAGCAGAGAAGTAGAGAGTGCTGTGGGAGAGACGGTTGGTGTCAGAATTGGTAAAGATGATGGAGAGAGGAGGCATGTCTGACCTCCACCTCAAAGGAATCAGCCTTGGGCTGCTGATCGTGATTCTCCTTCCCCCTTGTGAAGTTAAAGGTCAGACACCACTCCCACGCCATTTTTACATCAGAAAACTCTAAACACTTAGAAATTAAGAACCGTTTGTAAACCACCTGTTGGCCAAACAAAGAATGAAAATTAGAAAATATTTTCAACTAAATGATAATGAAAATAGTATACATCAAAACCTATGCAATACAGTTAAAGCAGAGAGAAGTTTCTAGTCTTAAATACTTACTCCAAAAAAGAAAGCTAAAAATTACATAGCTAACGATCTATTTTAAGAAGTTAGAAAAACTAAGATAATAGAAGGAAGAAATAATGAAGAGCAGAAATTAATGAAATAAAAAACAGATATACAATAGAGTGCATTGACAAACCAAAAGTTCTTTCAAAGATCAACAGAATTGATAAACCTCTAGCATGACTAATAAGAACAAAAGAGAAAAAGCATAATAACCAATATTTTAAATGAAAAGGACACATTACTACAGAAATTGTAGATGCAACAGACAAGTTCAAATACAAACTGAATCACAAAGAAATAGAAAACCTGAATATTCCTATAACCATTTAATGAGATTAACAAAACTTGAAACTAAAATATGACAAGGGCAGGACAAGAAAGGAAAATTACAGATCAATTTCAGTCAAGAACATATATGCAAACATCCGAAACAAAATATTAGCAACCCAAATCAGCAATATATAAAAAAGAGCAGTGCATCATGACCGAATTGGATTTATCACAGGAAATTCAGTTAACCCCTAGAAAATCAGTTAATGTACACATTAACAGATAAAAAAGAAAAATCATATGATCATCTCAGTAGATACCGAAACACCATTTGATAAAAGTCAATATTGAGTCATGATAAAAATTCTTAGCAAACTTGAAACAGGATATATTCCCTTAATCTGACTTAAAAAAATAATTCAGAAAGAACCAAAAATGCTTGCCATCCTCATTTTACCTAGCTAATGAATTAACATAAGAGAAAGAAAGTTATAAGAACTTGATAGTAATGAGTATGTATGTAGAAAACGTCAAAGAATACAGATTCAGTATTACTATGAGTCAGAAAGTTAGCAAGAGTACTGGTTAAAAAAGAAGCATTAAAAAATCAATTGGAGGGGACTTCTAGTAATGGTGAATTAAAGAGGCCAGCAAATCTTCTTTCCAAAAAACAACTATAAAACTGAACAAAATCATTAAAAACAACCATTTCAGAGCTCTGGAAATTGATTAAAGGCAAACAACAAACCGAGAAGCGTTTATTTATGAAAAGCCTCCGAACTTAGGGTAAACATTGCAAGTTTGTGGAATCCAAGAAAATCCACAGCACTACAGTCTTACTTGGGGCAAGTGGCAGACTGGCAGACTAGCCGAATATTTGACAGGAAGATCCTGGCAGTGAGAGAGCCATGGAATGGCTGGGTAAGCTCACCACACATCCCTGGCTGACTGGGAGAGTACATATATGCTAAAGGAAAACGTTAGAGGGTCCAAGCTCTCCACACATCCATGGGTAACTGGCAGGCTACATAAACATGCAGGGAAGACAGGAAAGACTAGATTAAATTAAAAGCTGGAGGAGAATTGAAAAGCACCTGAACTTTGAATGTATTCCCCAACCCACACATAGATCAACTGGCAGACAGTGGAAGCCTTACTGACTCAGAGTATACACTCTCTGACCCATCATTAGCTGACCATGAACACATACAAGGGAGATACCTGAAAAGCTAGAGTAAAAAATAAAAATAATAATTAAAAAAATGAGCACAGACATCAGTAGTTGCATACCACAAAAGAGGCAGATTCTACAGATTAAGTTCCATGCAAGTGACCAAAACAAAAACAGCAAGAGATTAGGACTTCTAAACCTCCAAAACTTCAAGAAAGTGGTAGTTTTTGTGACCGCAGTACTAGGTAACCAAGTAAGTTAAGTTACTATTATTATCCCCATTTTATAGATGAGGATACAAGGCACAGAGAAGTCAAGTAACTAAATGTGACAGACTTGGAACTCAAACCCAGGTAGTCTAAGCCAGCGCCTGTACTTGTTATCATTATGCTGTGTTGTCTTTCCTGTTCTTTGCCATTTCTCTCATTCCTTTATCTTTCACCTTCTTCTTGTTTCTTTTTACTGCCCAGACTACTTAAGTACAGTTCTATTGCTGCTGTACTTGTTTAATGAAATCTTACGTCTGCTGCTCTTAACTCTCGAAATGTAACATCTATAGCAGAGCAGAAAGAAAATAAAAATTTTAAGTCAGAGATCCTGTATCTGCCACTCATCTGTGTAATTTAGGACTAACCACTTAACCTCCATGAGACTACTTCCTCATCTGCAAAACTGAAATACTAACCCCAGCCCACTGGGTTGTTTGAGGATTAAATAAGATGATTATATATTATATTTAACATTTTGTAATGGGAAAATAAATGTTAAAATTATTATTCCTTTAAAAAAACAAATAAAAATACTTGCTTTTTTATTTATGCAGCCTGCTGAGGTTTTTCTTTCCTTTTTCTTTAAGTGAAAAATTCTTCTTCAGTAATAAAGAGCTAGGCAAATGTTGTCAACATGCCACTGACTATTATGTGACATACATGTTGGTAACATGTACTATTCCCAAAATATGTGCATTTTCTTTTTTTTTGTTTCTTTCCTTTCCACTTTCCTCTTCTGCTCTTCTGCATTCCTGTCCAAGATTTAAAACAGTCAAAGCTCTCATTAACTTAGTCCTACTGGAGACAAATAAATAATGTTATAGAAATAATGTTATTGCACCTCATAATAATAATTTTTCAAAAGAGTTAAACCAAAATATTATCATTCCCAAACAAGGACTTTATTTTGATACTTATAAAGAATATAATGGTAAAAATGATATTTTAAGATGAGAAAAAACTAAAATACTGCTACAGGTAAACTCTGAATGACATACTCATTCAACAGGTTCTCAATGAGCCCCTACAATATGCTTAGGTACTGAAAAAAAAATTAAAAGTCATAGTTCCTACTCTAAATAAACTTTTAAAAATCTTATAATTTATGAAGCTCAGAAAAGTCAAGCAAGCTATCCTAAATCACCCCGATAATAAAACCTAAGAAAGGTCTGGAGATCTGCTTCCAAAAGGTCACAGACTTGAGAACCCTATGAAGCGTGTTCTGCTCTTCAACACATGGGGTTGCCCTGATTCAGAATCAACTTGATGGCAACTGGTTAACTGATAGGATGCTAATAACCAATTCTGATTTTCAGTTCATCGTTTCACTTTTAGCGCAAATCCACATTAATGACTGGCTCTAGTTCCCATATTAGCTTAGTAATAGAATAGTGCAAGAGTTATTCTTTTACGGTAAAAAGTTTAACTGACTGTTTGAAACGTATCACCATATAAAGTATTGTACCTACTCAAATGTTGAGCAAATATTCTTGAATACAAAGTATAGATTATTCAATGGTAATTGTTACTAAATTCTCATTTTTAAGATGAGGCAACTGAGATAAAGTAATTTCATCAAAACAGAGTTGATTTAAGGTTTAAAGATTACCTCAGGCAATAGTTTCAGGAGTTCATCTAGCTCAGTGGCTCCAGAAAATCTGGATTCCATGAAAATTTGAAATTCTGTTCTGCATTCCCCCGATCCCGCTCTGATCAGGATTCTTCTGTAGAATCTTTGATCAAAATGTTCAGTAATGGTAAGCCGGGCACCATCCAGTTCTGGTCGCATGGTTTAAAGAAGTCTTCTTTAAACCAAACAATAGTTTAGTTTAATTAGTAAAGAATGTCTACCTTGAGCATTTTGCTCTTTAAAAGAATTACTTATATGGAATCAATATGACAACAGCAACTTGAAAGGTTAGATATGAAGCCTGGGGGCAGTGAGTTTATATTAATGGGGGAGGAACAATTTGGCAAAGGTGGGTGAGAAAGGTTGCACAACTTGAAGCATATAATCAATGTCCCTGAATTGTTCAAGTAGAAATTGTTGAATTGGTGTGTATCTTTTGCTGTGTGTATTTTTAATAACAATAAAAAACAAATAAAGAAGCAACAACAATACCAACAAAAAAACTCCAAAGAAAACCAGAGTTGAGAAGCAAAAAACAGAAGCTTTATCTTTCAGTTCTTTTTTTTACATAATAAAGCTGATTAACAATTCAGTTGACTTGTTTGATCTTAAGTTACAAAAATAGAGACAGGATTGTTCAAGATTACTTTGACTTACTAATTTATAAAATTATGATTGATAGTCCTGCTAAGTTTTCTTAATTTAAGACTGTCAGTTTGACTAATCAACTTGAAAAAAATGGTTCCCTATATGCAACGAATGAAAACATTCAGTATAAAATACAAAATAAAACATTTAGTATAAAAACATTCAGTACATTTTAAATTAAGCTGAAAATAACATAGAAGTTAAAAGCTTAGGAAAGAAATAAGCATATTGTCACATACTTAATAGAGAAGTGCAAAATCCCTGGTGCCTTTTCTGTTTGTATGTTTACTGCTGTAGTTTAAATGAAGTTTACATTTCAAGTTAGTTTCCCATACAAAAATTTATATACACACTGTTATGTGACCCTAATTGCTCTCCCCATACTGTGACAGCACACTCCTCCTTTCCACCCCTGATTCCCCATGTCCTTTCAACCACCTCCTAGCCCTCTCTGCCTTCCCATCTCACCTCTGGACAGAAGCTGCCCGTTTAGTCTCTTCTATTTACTTGAGCTAAGAGGCACACTCCTCATGAGTATCACTTTATGGCCCACAGTCCAGCCCAATCCCTGTCTGAAGAGTTGGCCTCAGAAATTGTTTTAGTTCTGAGCTGATAGAGAATCCAGGGGCCATGCTTTCCGGGGTTCCTCCAGTCTCATTCAGACCATTAAGTCTGGTCTTCTTACTAGAATTTGAGTTCTGCACCCCACCTTTCTCCTGCTCCATCAGGGACTCTCTGTTGTGTTCCCTGTCAGGGCGGTCATTGGTGGTAACCCTGGTGCCTTTTAATCACTTTAAATCAAAGATTTAATAATATTCAAGTATACTGTAAATAAGGAGCCCTGCTGGAGCAACAGTTAAGCACTGGCCAGCTAACCAAAAGGTTGGCAGTTTGAACTCACCCAGGAGCTCCACGGGAGAAAGACTTGGCAATCTGCTTCTGTAAAGATCACAGTTCTAGTCTGTCATATGGGATAGCTATGAGTCGAAATTGACTCAATGGCCCAACAACAACAATAACACCGTAAATATGAAGAACTGTAAGGAAATTAGTAATTTTCAGTTACTACAAAAAGTTTTTTAGCCTGAACTTCAAATTCCCCAAGAATGCTGCATGAAAGGAAATTTAATGCCTTTTTGAATGTCCTGATGAATAGAACTATAAAATATGCTAAACTCTGAAGAATTAACTTGAGAGATGAATCAGAGTTCCTAATATTACATAGAGGATAACACAGAATAGTGTTATTAATGATTAACTAAAATGCTAAAGACTCCTATAGCATTAATTTGCCATTGATATAATACTAAATCATGTAATTTGATGGGCACTAAATAAGCAAGTTAACAAACAAACATTTACTTTTAACAACTCACTCAACCCTCTGAACTTTAAAACAAAGTTCCCCAATACAAGACTACTAATGTCAAAGCTAAGTCATTTAATAATGAGTCATTAATCTTCCGAATTGTGGTACTGATGAAGAATACTGAATATACCATGAACTGCCAGAAGAACAAATCCGTCTTAGAAGAAATACAATCAGAATACTCCTTAGAAGCAAAGATGGTGAGACTTCAGCTAGCTTACTTTGGTCACATAATCAGGAAAGACCAAAAGACATTGTTTGACAAAGTAGAGGGTCAGCAAAAACAAGAGTAATCCTCACTGAGATGAACTGACGCAATAGCCACAACAACGGACGCAAACATAACAACCATCATGAAGATGGCACTGGGCCAGGCAACGTTTCATTCTGTTATACACGAGGTCGTCATGAGTCAGAGCCTACTTGACACAACTAACTAACCACAACAAAAATCATTTTAAGATTGGATTTAGTGTGGAGTCTCATTAGAAAAACAACTGCTTAACTGACTTTCTTGGTACTGTCAAATTTTATTTAGGACCTTGGTGTCTGTGCTGAAGCACTTACCTACATAAGAAGGACATAAAGATCAACCAAAGAAAGCTAGTGTGACCTTATTATTTTAAATACATATTGATTGTGATTATCGGTACACTTCAAAGAACATCAGCCCTTTCCATGCTAGGCTCGAAAACTTCCTTTTAACTTGCCTCACAATTCTTTGCAAAAGCAAATCTATAGTATCTATGCCAAGATCCGCAAACCTTATGCCCAAACAAATGTGCCTATAGATCCACTGTACAGGTATACATATGTTGTTTCTCAGAGGCTAAAAATCAGTATTACCTACTACTTCTGCATATTTTGTAGAGTTTCAGATACTATATGTATATTCAGCTTAGTAGGCCAGGGGTGGACAGGTCCTATCTGTAAAGGGCCGCATAGAAAATATTTTCGGCTTTGCAGGCCACTACTCAATTTTGCCTTTGTAGCATGAAAAACAATATACAAATGAGTGAGCATGGTTGTATTGCAATAAAAACTTATTTACAAAAAGTAAATAAACCCAGCAGCGGGCAGGATTTGGCCACAGTTACTACCTCTGTAGTATACCAAGACAAAACCAAATGGAACCATACCATAAAAGCGGCATCCTGATGAAAGCAGTTATATGCTTTCTTCTATACAAGTCTGTAACTGCTATAAAGTCCAGAAACAAACTTACTTAAACACTTTCCGTACAAATTGCTTACTCGTCAGCCAGCAGGAGCTCTAATGCTCTAACTGGGATATAAGAGAACATGCTTCCAATCTGATCAATAAATGCTTCAAAAGGTGTTAAATCTGACAGTGCTGGAGGACAATGTGGTCTAATAAAGAAATTACCAGTCAAAACAATGCTATGGCACAAAAGAACCTCTCACATTGACAACACTGAATACTCTCTAGTTATGATTAGGTGGTAAGAAAGAAAGAACACTAGCAAAGCACTGAAATTTAAGAGTATTATAAAATGCAGGCCTGGTAGAAATTTTTAACCTCTTAATTATGTGTTTGCTTTTATGCTCATATAGTCTTTAAAAAAATACTATAAATTATTACTTTAATTTGTGATTCATATTGGCATTCCTATCCTTCTGTGCTGAGTTTGCCCTTTATTGTAAATATTTAAAATATTATAAAACCACCATTGACAGTATATAATTAAAGAAAAAATTTTAATGTGTATAACTGAGATATGCAGTATTTAAAAGACTGTGAGAAGAAATCTAAAGCTAACTGTTGTCAGAGCTATAAACCAAAACCAACCCCATTGCTGGCAAGTTAGTTCTGACTCACAGTGATCCTATAGGACGGAGTAGAACTGTCCCATAGGCAATAATCCTTTCCTTGTTTCTTCCATCCCTCCTGATGCTCCTGCCTTTGGCAAGCTCCACAAGGATCTGCTTGTACTTCCTGTTGTGGGCATTTGTCACTCCTGGTTCTCACTGAATCTCCCTCCCCTGTCCCCCCCCCCCAAGTCTAGTTTAAGCCTGGACAGTTGTGGTTCATTGACTTGTCTGAGCCAGGCTGGCTGAGACTGGGGCTGATACTTAAATAAAATGACTTTCATTCTTAAAAAAAAAAAAAAAACTCAGGATTTCCAAGGAGCGGCTGGTGCGTTTGATCTGTCAACCTTTGATTTGCAGCCATAGCTCTTAACCACTGCGCCACTAAAGCTCTTCTCAGAGCTATCCCTGTTGCCTTGGAGTCGATTCCGACTCATAGCGACCCTACAGGACAGATTAGAACTGCCCCATAGTGTTTCCAAGGAGTAGCTGGTGGATTTGAACTGCCGATCTTTTGGTTAGTAGCCGACCTGTCAATCGCTCAGCCACCAGGGCTCCTCTCAAGAGCTACAGTGGGCATAAATTGGGGAGGGAAAGGTGAACTTCATTTTCTTAGAGGTAAAGAAACTATAGATGACATTTTAGTTTGCTACCAACGTTTTACCTTAATACGAAGTTTATAGCTGTTTCTGAAGCAAGGAGAGTTTTCTTCAAGTTAAGGCAAGGGTCCTATTGAAAAGTTACAGAACTATCCCTTCAGTGGTTAGTTGTTTTCCTGCATATGTCAGATTTTTGTCATGTCTTGAAGGCATTATGAAGAAAAAAAAGGGGAAGAGGTTTGAGTGTGCTGACCTACCAATCTCAGTAATGGATAAGGCACTTCCTGGGAGTCATGACAATTAGCTTTTAGTCAAGTCAGCCATTAATTAGTTGTCTGGTGGTGAACAAATAATTTATTCAACTCATCTGTAAAGCGAGGAAAGTGGGCTTGTCTAGCTGCTCTCAAAGGTCCCTTCCACCTCTACTATTCTATAACAGCTAAAATGTGAAGCCACCCCACTCTATCAGACATTCATTCCCACAATTGAGTCCTATGAAAAGCGTGGCGAGGGGTTAACAGTTATGGCCTTCATCCCATCTGTAGACCTAGCTCAAGGCAAAAAGAGTTTTCCTCCCTCATCTCCCCTCTCTATCTCTTCCCAATTCAGGATAGAGATGTGTCCCTACCCCCGCAATCTCCCCAGTCCTCCTCCTTGCCCCCGGGTGTTCATCTACGTTAGCCCTGCCTCTCCCCCCAGGCTTCAGCAGGCACGTATCTAGACACCTTCTCAAATTCCCTCAGTCCCCGCGAGAGTCCCGGACTTTCCCGCACTCGATCCCAGTGAGGGCCGCGCGCAGTCCCTCCAGAATGGTCTTTGCAGTCCCCAGCTTTAGGTCTCACCACTCCACCACGAAGCGACGGTCCTACCGCGCGTCAAAGAACTTCCCCCAGTGACAGGAGGCTCCACCGCCAGCTCAGCCTTTCCTACCGTTTCCCCTCGGTTTCTTTCCCTCCTTCCCGAGGGTGAGTTTGCAAATGAGGAAATAAGCTCTACCTTAGAAGGCCAGGTCCTCAGTCTTCGAGAAGTGGAAGGAAGGCGAAGACCTCCTTCCCAAATACTGTCAGCTTGCAGCGGCGGGGATCCGCGTCCCGCAGACAGGAAGAGGCAATGGCACAGGCCGCGGGGACCGGCGGGGAATGAGTTCCGAGCACGCCAAATCTGCTGCTGTTGTCAAACCTCGCGCCGCCGCGGACTACAACGCCCAGAGGTCTCTGCGACAGCCGGCACACTCCT